AAAGGCCATGACATGTCCAGAGGACAGCATTTCAGAGCACTCCTCCCTGTCCTCTGGCTCTTAACATTCTTTTCACCTTTTCTTTCATGATGGTCCCTGAGCTGAGGGGAGGGGAGGAGGATTGATAGGGATACCCCATTTAGGGCTGGGGACTCAACATTCACGTATTCTCAGCTCTTTGAGCAGTTACAAGTCTCTGCACCGACTGCTGCCCACTGCGAAAAGAAGCTTCTCTGACCATTGGTTGAGAGCAATACTAATCTATGGGTCTAAGCACAAATATTTAGAAAGCAGCTTGACAACGTCAGGGAAGATATTTCTGATATGAGGAATGTTGAAGAATTTGCACTGCAGAGAAGATGGTACCTCAAATTGAGAAGAATTTCATGCAACTTAGCAAGGATGACATTCTTTCAAAGACCCTGCCTTGGGACTGCAGAGATGGCTCAGTGGTTAAGAGAACTGACTGCTTTTACAGAGGACCTGGGTTTTATTCTCAGCACCTACATGGTGGCTAACAACCATTGGTAACTCCAGTTCCAGGGAATCTGATGCCCTCTTCTGACCTCCGTGGGCATTGCACTACATGGGTACACTTACATTCATTCAGGCAATACACTCAAACACGTAAAATAAAAATAATAAGTAAAATATTAAATAAAAAAACCCTGACTTGTCCCCTTCTTTTATAGGGTACTGTAGGAGATGGCACTGGTGTCTTTCCTGTGCTTGCCCAAGGAGACCTGGCAGGAATAGCCTCCATCCAGCCTATCTCTGGTCACATGGCCCAGAAATTTCTTTTTTCAAAGAAGCTGCTGGTCCTTATGTCCCTCATTAAGAAAAGATAAAAAGGCAGGAAAGAGGACCCAGCAGAAGAGCACTGGTTGCGCCCTCTTCTGGCCTCCTTGGGTGCTGCATGCACATGGTACACTGACATATGCAAGCAAAAACACTCAAACATAAAATAAAAAATATATGTCTTTTAAAAAAGAAAAAGACAGGATAGCTGGGGCTACAAGGAGACCCTGTCTCAAAAAGACAAAAAAAAAAAAGTAAAGAAAAAGAAGGGGCTGGAGAGATGGCTCAGTGATTCAGAACACTGGTTGTTCTTGCAGAAGACCTGGGTTCGAATCCCAGCACCCACATGGCAGCTAACAACTGTCTGTAACTCCAGAGTCCCGACAGCCTCTTCTGACCTCCTCGGGCATTGCATGAAACAGGTGCACTTACCTACATGCAGGCAATACATGCATTCACATAAAATAGAAATAAGAAAATTAAAAAAAGAAAAAGAAAAGGAAGTAGGGGCTGGGCATGGTGGCTCAAGCCTTTAATTCCAGTACTCAGGAGGCAGAAGTAGGCAGATCTCTGTGACTTCAAGGCCAGCCTGGACTACATAGCCAGTTCTGGGCCACTCAGTTCTAGATAGTGTCCATTTAAAAACAAAACAAAATAAAACAAAACAAAACAAAACAAAAAAACCCAACCCCCCAAACCTCTCATCAGACAAGTCTCAACTTGTTGGTCATGAGTATTTCTGCTATTTGTTTATGTCCCTGTCCCTCTTGACTTCTGAGCCTTAGCCCTAGCTTAGCAACAACAATGACCCTGTTTGTTCCTTCCTGTTTCCCCTCTTAAGCTTTTTTTTAATCAGAAGAGCCACTTAGAAAAGTAACTTGAATTTATACACAGAACAGGAAAGGCTGTTTTCAGTCAATGCTCAAAAGATAGTACAAAAATTTGGGAGAGTTAGCAGTTTCCACATGTTCAAACATTCATGCGTGGAAGGCTAAGGAATGCTGAAGGTCTGGAGTTCCCAGCCTGGAGGTTCAATTAAGTGTGTGGAGCCAAGGTCCAGCTTCGTTCTTCCATCACACCACTTTCAACCAATACCCAGGGACCTGGCTGTGGAGCTGGATGAAGTGAACTCTATGTGGTGCTGGCTGATGTCTCAAGAAAAGTAAAAAGCCCTTTCCTCATCTCTTCTCCACCCAGGCACAGACCCAGGCTCCCAGCCTTTTTCAGGTCACATGGAAAACAGTCAGCTGGGTAAGATTTGGTGTGTCAGGGTGTTTGATGACCTAATTATTCATTCTATACTTTGTACAGTGTATAGAAATCAAAATCAGAATTATAAAATTCAAAACATATTAGTTTAGTTACTTAATATTAAATTTATAAGAAACTTCCCAATATTTTCCAAAATTTTATACTGCTTCATTAGTTCACAAATTGGAACATTTCTATGTAAGTTTTTTGTTGTTATTTAAATTAGCTACTGTCAATTCCTAATCATGAGATTAGTGAAAAATTTTCAAATTCTTTATTTTTATATTATAAGTAATGTGCCTGCATGTATGTATGTGTACTACATGCATGCCTGGTGCCTGAGAAGACCAGAAAAGGGTGTTGGATCTCCAGAGACTAGTTACTGACAGTTGTGTGTTGCCATGTGAACCTAGGTCTTCTGCAAGAATAGCAAGTGCTCTTAGCTGCTAAGCCATCTCTCTAGGCCTCTTCAAATTCTTTTTAAAGATAATACTTTTTTTGAGTATTTCTCCCCCCCACCCTGTGTGTGTGTGTGTGTGTGTGTGTGTGTGTGTGTGTGTGTGTATGTAGATTCACATGGATGGTGAGGTCAGAGGACAACTTGTAGGAGTCAGTTCTCTCTTTCCATGATGTGGGTCATGGGTCCCAGGGACTGAACTCAGGTCATCGGGTTTGCCATCTCTCCCATCTAAAATTTTCAAATTCTTGATAGTTATCACCAACAAGAAACTCTGTGTTACAAGTGATTTAAAATGTCTTTATTAATTTTTAAAAAACTGTTAAAATTTTCAGTAACATAGTATATAATGGTCTCTGTTTTTCCTTTCACTGATAAAATGTGATGCTGTCATTTGATAACAATGTAAATTCTTCTCAAACCCCCAGAACTTTTTCATGGTATCAGAGGAGCAAGCTCACCCCGGAGATAGGGAGCCAGATAGGGAGCCTGGACCGGGAGCTGGGGCCAGGACCCAAGCTGTGGAAGACTGTAACCCTGAGCCCCACTGAGAAGAGCATGTGGTTTGACCTTTGCCATCTGTCACCCTTATCAGAGGATTAGAATCTCCAAATTGTATACTAAATAAACCTTTTCTCTTTATAAGTTAATTGCCTCTAGTATTTTTTGGTAACCTGAAATTTACCAATGCACCCCTCCCCCGCCCCCGTAAACCATGTGCTTAATCAGATAAATCTAAATTCTGGCTCTACTGCTCTCTAGAGATAGGCCATCAGCAATTATTTGTCTTTCCAACCCTGGGTCTCATGGCCTAGACATTATTACAACTCTGGTACCTGTAGTGCAATGACAGGCAGACTAACCAGGACAGTACACATACAGTGCTGGAAACAAGGCAAGGGCTCAAGAAATGATGGCTGAGCCCAGAACTAGGTAGCTGTCCTGCCCTGCCCTGCCATGCCCACCTTCTGTGAGTGGCACCTCCCCAACAGAAACATGTCGCATCAACATTTCTACTGCTTATTTTAAATTTTTTCAACCAGAGTATATATAAACTTCAATCTTTTATTATTTTTGGCTCCTCATCTATGGGCTTTTTCAATTACATTTATTTATTTATTTATTATATTTATTTTGTGTGTGTGAGTATGTGCATACATGGAGGTCAGAGGACAACTCTCCTTCCACCATGTGAGTCTTGGGGATGGAACTCAGGTAGTCAGACTTGGCAACAAGAAACTTTACCTGCTGAGCCGTCCACACATCTATGGACTCTTGAGATGGTTTCTCTGTATCTCTAAAAAGTAATGCTAAGAATAATCAGAACAACTGCGGTTAAGGGCCAGTCATGAAGGGAAAGGTGTCAGGGCTACTGGTGAGCACTGTCTTTCCAAAGCTGAAATACATCAAATACATCCTTCTTCATATTTTATTAGGAATTCATATCAATCAGTTGTAAACCATTACATTAAATCATTCCTATCAAACACATGATTTATATAGGTATATCAGGTTTCTCACAAAGACCAAAAAACTAAGTCAAATCTAGCATTTAATTTTACTTACATTTTTATGTTTAATACTTATGAAAAAGAAAACAACTTAAAAAAAAACTTAACTGTACAAATGTTAGCACTTGGGAATAAAATTTAAGATCTACAAGATAAGTGAAATAAGTCATCTTTTATTAAAATATAATATCCTTGTCTCTTTCCACCATATACATATATATTCTCTTTAAATAAATATATTATGTATTTTTATTCATTTATATGTATTTGTGTATGCATATGTGTATGTTCATGAGTGTCTGTGTACATGTGGAAGGCAGAGGACAATCTTGCATATAATTCTTTAGGTGCTCTCCACCTTTTATTTTTTTTAAAAAATAAATCCATTTATTTTTATTTTATTTACTATTTATTTATTTATTTATATGTATATGTGTGTATTGCCTGCCTGTAGGTAAGTGCACCTGTGTGGTGCAATGCCCAAGGAGGTCAGAAGAGGCTATCAGATCCCCTGGAACTGGAGTTATGGACAGTTGTTAGCTGCCAGGTGGGTGCTGGGATTTGAACCCGGGTCTTCTGCAAGAACAACCAGTGTTCTTAACCGCTGAGCCATCTCTCCAGCCCCTATTTTTATTTTTATGTGTATGAGTATTTGCCTGCATGTCATGCAATGCCTGAAGAGGCCAGAAGAGGGCATCAGATCCCCTGGAACTGAAGTTACAGATGGTTATGAGCTGTCATGTGGGTGCTAGGACCCAAACCTGTGTCTTCTGTAAGAGGAGCCAGTGCTCTTAACCACTGAACCATCTCTCCAGCCCCATTTTCTTTTTAAATAGGATCTCCTCAAGGCCTGGAATTCCTCAAGTAGGCTAGGTTGGCGGCCACTGAGCCCTAGGGATCCACCTGTCTCTCCTTCCCCAGCACTGGCTACAACTGGATCCGGCTTAAAATTTTTTTTTTTTAATGTGGGTTCTTGGGATTAAACTCATGTCCTAGTGCTTACAAGGCAAGCAATTTACCAACTGAGCAATTTCCCTAGCCTCTGTATTTTTATTTTGTGCTTTTTGTGGGTCTTGGGATGGAAACCAGGGCAACCCACAGGTTAGGCGCACACTCAGCTCTGCTATGTATTTATTTATTCATTTTTTAGATTGATTTTAATTTATGTGTCTGTGTGTTTGTCTGCGAATGAATGCCATGTGTGTGCCGGTGCCCTGGGAGGTCAGAAAAGGATATTCGATCCCCTGGAGCTGGAGCTGAGCCGCCCAATAAGGGAGCTGGGAACAGAACTTGGGTCCTCTGGAAGAGCAGGATAAGCTCTTAAAGGCTGAGCCATCTCTCCAGCCCTCTCTTATGAATTTATAATGAAGACTGACTTGATAGCATTCACCTGCGCTCTTGGGTCACGGACTTTACTTAGTAAGGAAAACAAATACCCAAAACATCAGGCATAACAAGCATAAAGCAGGAGAACTTGCTTGGTTTTGTCACATGTCCATGCAGCTTGCCTCACACTGGCACTTCAGAGCCCTCTGAGGAGTCATCAGCAAACAAAAGTGCATCTGATGATGGGGTCCCCAAAGGTAGTGTGCTGCAGTGAGACCACGAGATCCCATTCCTGGTGAGTCTGTCCTCTGGTAAAACACTGTCCTTTCCAGGTGTGACCAAAGCAGAGGGAGCTGAGGCCATGTCTTCCCATTCCTCACTCCCCCCGTTCAGGATGTACCTCTCCTCATGAGGGTTGTTCTCATGAATTTCTGCTGTGACCACGCTGATGGCAGCACTGGGAGTACAAGAGGCAATGATGGAGTCAGGATTGATGTTCATATCTAGCCTAGCGAGTGCTTGCTCAGCCAGGCTCTCACAGCTCTCCAGCAGCTGTGTGTTGATGTAGATGACGGCTGCTTTGTCTTGCGAATCAGGCAAGCTCTCTAAGAGCTTTTCTAGCTGTACCCTCAACACTGAAAAGGTGGGTCGGTCTGGGGGATCAGCACTCCAGCAAGAGTACATGATGTCATACCTGAGGGAAAAAAAAAGAAGTGTCACTTGGCAGGTCCCTGATCCCCCTTTCTCCTCAACTAATCTTGAATTTCATTCCATGCCATCAGCATTTGTTCCACTTTTTAAAATATTTTATTATTTTTATTTTATGTCTATGACTATACTGCCTGTATGCATGTAAGTGCACCCATATCACACTGTGCAATGCTGAAGAGGGTGTCAGATCTCTTGGCACTGGAATTATGGATGGATGGTTGTTAGCCACCATGTAGGTGCTGGGAACCGAACTTGGGTCCTCTGGAAGAGCAGTCAGTGTTCTTAACCACTGAGCCATCTCTCCAGCCTTTGTTCCACTTTTAAATGAGTTCTTGGGGGTGTGTGGCTTGATGGTTATTCAACGTTTGTAAATGTTTCATGGGTATCTGTGTGCAAGTGTATATACACATGTACAGAGGCCAGAGGACATCTGGTATCCTGCTCTAGCCATCTCTGTCTTATTCCCTTGAGACAAGGCCTCTCACTGAACATGGGACTGGCTGTTTTGGCTAAACTAGCTGGCCAGGGAGCCCCAGAAAATCTTCTGGCTTCTGCCCCTCACAGAACTGGGGTTACAGTCACACCCAGCTTTTTACATGGGTCCTGGGGATCAAACTCAGATCTTTATGCTTGCACAGCAATCACTCTTACCTACTAAGCCATCTCCCCAGCCCTTTTCATAGGTATTTGACAAGAAAACAATTCTGTTTCTAAAAGTGGATGTGTGGGTATGGTGGCACATGCTTTTAATCCCAGTGCTTGGAATACAGAGGCAGGCAGATAGAGGTCATCCTGGTCTACATAGTGAGGTCCAGACCAACTGGGGCTACAGAGAGACCCTTTCTCAAAAAAACAAAATAAAATAAAAAGTAGAAGATGTACCTGGCAATTATATCTATCTTAGCAAATAAAAAGACCTAAGGTCCTTTTCTTCTGCAGGGCTTGACAACCAAGCCAATGATGTGCTTTGTAAATAAAGTTTTATTGGAACACTGCTGTGCCTATTTGTTTATTGTTGTCTGTGACTGCTTTTGCTGCAAGTGTAGCATTGAGGGGGTGGAAAGGACCCAAGAAGCCAAAATTATTTACTGTTTGCTACTTTAAAAAACAATCTTGCTGACTTCTGTTCTATATTTCAAACTGAGTTGTTAGGACAGGGCTGACTTAGGTGGAGCCAGGAATGGCTAGGTAAGAACGCCCCTAGGTAACCGGGGGAGGCAGCTTCAGGTTGGGGGATCCCCTCACCAACTGCTCCTCATGACTTTTTGGGTACATTCCTCAATCTCAGTGCCCAGAACTACAATGGAGGGACAATCAAAGGAGTGCAACAGAGAAATGACAACTGGGAATCACTAGGCTGAGAAAAGCCATACCAGCTTTTCATGTGGATCCTTTCCTATTTTGAGAAACTGGCATTAATATCATTGGATAAGAAAAACGGGCCAATTCTAAATTACATGATGCATGGGGAGCACTGTTATCTTAGGAACATAAATATGTAATTCCCATATTTACATTTACTTTATGACTTACAGATCCTTTGGCTTATTCTACTAAGTGGTACTTTACACATAACACAAGGTCTCATTCAGGCAGACATAACTATCTTTTCATTTGTCTGCTTTTCCAGCCTTTATCAATGCTAGTACATGCTTTGAAGGTACATACTGAGGGGCTGAATCTGAATAAAGACTCTGAGATCACACCAGAGTGCCAGTCCTGCCTCACGGTCTCGAGTTTCATCTTGAGTTTAGGGGTACTTTTTAGTTTCTCTGACTTACTCTCAGTAGAGTCACTTAGACTTGGCAAACAAGTTTGTTTCTGTTTTTGAGGTTTTCATGGTAGAAGTCAGTTTGTAGGACTTCTATTTTCCACAGACCCTTAACTGTTTGCAATCTAAACTGAATTTTGGGAAATTCAGCCCTTAGGGATACAACACAATGTTCTTTCAATCACTGTATCCAGGCACTGTGCTATTTAATTCACTTTAATTTATTCCATGTCTTAGAAAAGTGTTTAACTGATCTTTTTTATGTAGAATAGTAGCAAGATCATTTTGAAATTTAGTTTTCCTTCATGCTTAATACTTTATGAAATATATGAGAATATAAATAGTATTTAAAACTTTTTTTTTTTTTTTTTTGAGACAGAATCCGATATACAGCCTGGGCTGACCTCAAACTCTCTACCTTCCTGTACAGGTAAGCATTATCATGCCCACTTTAAATATAACTTCTAAAGACAGGATGAGGGGCTTGGGAACCACAGGAAGGTTAGTCCAGAAGTAAGCCATGATCAGATTTTAGTTCTAATTATCTGTCTGTGGCATTGGGGGTGGAATCAGGGAGTTTAGCATGTTGGTTAAGCACTGAACTACCCCTGCTTCAGATCATATTTGAGGGGTCACTTTGGTTGCTGTCCAAGAGATGCAGATGGAGTTCAGGGGAGGGGAGGATGAAGGCATCATGGTGGTAATGGAGTCCTGGGGTCCGATGGTCTGACAGTATCAGCAATGGGGATAGAAGAGGAGGGGAACTCTGAAAGATATCTGCTAGTCAATGGGATCCAGTGGGGACAAAGACCTGTCATGCCAGAGGATGAGGGGAAGGATATCCATGCCATGGACCACTGTGGCCAGCTGGTGGGGAGGGTCTTGAGGGTGGCATGGAGGCCTAAAGAGCTCAGCTAGGGAAATGTCCTGAGGAAGTCGATGGAGGCATCAGAGAATGGCATTCTGGGTAGTGGGGAACAAGATCTACAAGCTGGTTATTCCAGGGTGGAAGTGACAGTGAGGAGAGGTGATCCTCTGAGGGGCAGGATTAGAAAGTAGGGCACCAAGGGGCTCTGTGATTGGTATCCATCCATCTATTCTTCCCTTTTTTCCTCCCCCACTTCTTCCTTTTGCAGTACAGGGGACTGTGCTGTGGCCTTGTGTGTGCTAGGCAAGCGCTCCACCACCAAGCTACAGCCCAGGAGCCATATTGCTATATTTCACAGAATTTACTTAAAATTACCAAAGTGTAACGGAACACAGGAGCACATTCATCCTAGCCCTGTTTGAACTCTGAGAAATTCAGAATACTCATTTTTCTTTTAAACAGGAAATGGAAACACAGAGGCCTCTTTGGGGGACACTATTGCTTGCTGGCATCCACATAGGAGGAGACCCAGGAGAAGGCCTGCTTCACCAGCCTGCTGACCACAGCTCTTCTGTTAGCCCAGGGCATGAGCAAGCAGAAGCATGGGGACCGCAGCCTGTCTGCAGCTCCCTGGGTCCCCGACCACAGGGTGGGAGCTGATTCTGCCACCAAAAATGTTCTCAAAGAACACCAACTCAGCAGCCCCTCCTGTTAGCTTAACATGAAACATGTAAAAGCCACAATGTGACACAGCTCGGACCTTGCTGAGACCCATAATGAATCACTGTAAATGTCAACGTCTGCTGGCACATGGGGAAAGCTAAGATAGAAACCACAACAAAACTCTTCCCAGTCAGTGTGACCACATTGAAAGGCTTCTTCATTTCCAGAAGTCAACATTTCAGTAGCATGGCCCTTTAAAAACTACCGTGAAACCCTAGAACTAATTTAATCAGGATTTCACAATGTCTTAAAGAGATTTACAGTCTTTCTGTTTAATAATAGACATCTTTAACCACCACCACCACCACCAAGAAGGGCATAGCTGGGATCACAACAGTCTTCTTGTTTGGCTTTCAGTCTAAGCCTTACATGGATGGAGACAGGGAGGTGGGCTGTATGCAAAATGACCTGAGCCCTGTCTGCTGTATGAGGCAGCAAGGACAGAGCTTGGTGTGGGCCTGGGGGTCTTGTATACAATCACTGGTACCAGTACCCTGCATGCTGTTCCATGACAGAGCCAGCTCAAGCCCATGGTTGCCTAGTGTTCTTGCTAAATATGGTAAGAATGGCTTCCAAGTCCATGGCCCTTGTTTTACAGGGAGGGGACTCACTACCAAGAAGGTGCAAGTCATCATGCTATAGGCAGCCTTATAAGACATTGTCTTGAAAAGGTCAGCAAGGTACTTGAGGGAGATCAAATAGAAATGATAGGGCTAGAGAGATGGCTCAGTGGATAAAGCACTTGCCTTGCAAGCATGGAGACCTGAGATTGGATCCCTAGCAACCATGCAGAATCCAGGGGAGTATGGCAGGTCACCTGTAATCCCAGCAGTGAGCAGGTGGAGACGGGATCCTTGGGGCAAGCTAGCTAACTAGACAAGCCAAATGCATAAGCTCCCAGGTTCAGCAAGAGGCTCTGCCTCAGTAAATAAAAGTGGTGATCGATTAAGGAAGACACTTAATATCAATCTCCAGCCACCACATGCATGCATATCCATGTGCACCCACACACATGCAAATCATTGTGATGGTTGGCATCATCAACTTGACAGAATCTAGAATCACCTGGGAGATGGGTCTTTGAGCATGCCTGTGAGGGGCTGCCTTGATTACCTTAATTGATGTTGGAAGGCTGATCTTAACTATCTTGGGGACCATTCCCCAGCTGGGATCCTGGATTGTATATGAAAGGGAACTGAGAGTAGCAAGCATTTGCCATGCTCTGCTCCTGATTGTGGATGTGATATGACCAGCTGCTTCAAGCTCCTGCTGCCTCAACTTTCCTGCCAGACGGATGGTACCTTGGACTATGAGCTGAAATAAATCCTTGCCCCCTTCAGTTGCTTTTGTCAAGATATTGTATTAAAATAACAGGAAAAGAAACTAATACACACACATACACACACCCCTTGAGTAAAAAAGTAATGATGATATTAATAACTGGCATTGTCCTGTGGTACTTCCTCTGTGTGCCTTCTGTGGGCTGAATACTCAGGATACTTTCTTACCTAACCATTACTACAGCTGTCTGAAGAACATATGGCTACACTATTTTGTGGCTAGTAACATGATACAGAAGTCAAGCCAGCTGCCACGGCCACACACAGAGCTAATTACTGGACAGAGCCTGGTCTGTCCAACCCCAAGAACTGGGTTTCTTCCTCATCATGCCTGTCTTTGAAGTCAGAGGGGCTGTCAGGATGGGGCATGCTCTGCGGGAGTTGTGAATGCTCATACCTGGCCAAGCACAGGTCATGTTCTCCCAGGGAACATTTTTAAAACACACAGTTTCTAGGATCACTTTGTAACAAACAGCACCACAATCTCCAGGCACAAGGCTAAGGAACTGCACTGTCAGAATTGTCCCCCAGTAATTCTGACAACCGGCTTGCTCTCAAAGATTTCTAAGTTTCATGACGAATGTGATCAGTATACTTGAAATGGTATATAGAGAAAGAATAACTGGGTTCAAAGTGAGGAGGGAAGGATTCCAGTACCTCATACACTGTAAATCAAGCCTATCTATTGGTAGGATGTATTTCCCAACAGTGCTTATGGAGTTTAGGAACATATGGATGCCTTGTCTTAACTGTGCCCATCCGTGCAGCCTAAGAACTTTTGGATGAGTGAGCTACAGATGGCTCATGGAGCTGTGCATACATCACCACTGTATCAGGAATGGCAGCTGACCTGAGGCATCTGCAGGTGCCTCTGCACACACTGGCCTGGCTAACAGCAGACCCCACCCCTCCTGCCATGACCATGCTTCCCAGGTCTTTGCACAGTCAAGCGGCAGCCCGGTGCAGAAAGCCCAGTTGCATGGAAATGCTCACTCACAGTTCATCCAGGCAGTCCTCGGGCTGCTTCAGCCTGTGGCCGTGGAGAAGGTGGTCATACATCTCATGGTTCTGGACTCCAGGATAGGGCGTCATTCCCCGGGTTGCTATTTCCCACATGGTCACGCCAAAAGCCCACTGAGTACAAAGCAACAACAAATTAGGATGCAAATCTTTCCACAGAGCCTCAAAGGACTTTTTCATCAGGAAAGGTCATTTCCTTAAAGCCCTGAGAGTCGTGCACAAAGCTGGTAATTATGTCTGAGGCCCACAGCAGCATCTGGGGTTCGGGTGCTGTGGTTCCCCATTCTCAAGAAAACTGTTCTGGGAAATTTGGCAAAGGCAGCCAGAACCTCATCCCACATCAACACTGTTTAGTTTTGCTCTGCTATTGCTATAGGACATTTTCTTTTCCCAAGCTTGGGTCAAAGGTCTAATTACATATCATCTTGTACAAAGCATATGGGTTCCAAAGGGCCACCAGATGAACTCATTCAGTTTAATGTGAACGTGAACTTAGATGTGGACAGTAAGTCACTCATTTGTAGCAAAGAACATGTAACTCAATGAAGGTTCTATACAAAGCACAGATTTCTGAATATTAGGGCACTTTACCACAATCTACTGCTTTCCTGAATCAAATGACCTAGCAAGAAATAAAAGCCAGACATGGTGGTGCACAGTTGTAATCCCAGATACTTGAGAGGCAGAAGTGGGAGGATTGTGAGTTCAAGGCCTGTCTAAGCTACATAGAGAGGTCCTGCCTCAAACACAAAAAGTAAAAGGGGGTGGAGAGATGGCTCTGGATTAAGAGTCCATATTACTCTTGTAGAGGACTTGAGTTTGTTTCCCAGCACCCACATCGATTTGGACAGCTCACAACTGCTAATAACTCCAGCTCCAGGGAATCTGATGCCTCTGGCCTCTGCAGGCACCTGCACATTCCCCCGACCCCATCCCATATATGCACATAATTAAAAAATTAGTTAGCCAGGCGTGGTGGTGCAAGCCTTTAATCCCAGCGTTCTGGAGGCAGAGGCAGGTGGATCTCTGTGAATTTGAGGCCAGCCTGGTCTATATAGCAAGTTCCAAGCTAGCTCAGTGGCAGTGTTTGCCTAGCATGTGTTAAGTCCTAGTTCAACTCAATACCACAAAAGTAAATACAGGTATAATAAATGAAAAAAAGAGAAGTCTGGGTATGTTTCCAATCCTCAGTTTATCAGTTCTGATCAAAAGTCTAGTCATTTCTTTCAGAAACCTTCATCTTTGTTGAACCAAAGCTGTGTACATACCACATCACTTTTACTTGTGTAGACTCGATCTGCAAGGCTCTCTATGGCAATCCATTTCACAGGCATCTTGGCTATGCGGCCTTGGCGGTAGTAATCACCACTGTAAATCTTCTTAGAGAGGCCAAAGTCTGCCACACAGACAGTCATGTCATCCCGCAACCTGTGAAGAGCCAGTTCAGATCCTCAACAACCCTGAGAGCAGAGCATTTAACCCCAGGTAGACAGATGCAGCTACAACACTTACAAGATACCAGAGAAGACACAGGGAGGCTGGGGATGTGGCTCAGTTGGTAGAGTGCTTGTCTACCATGCATGAAGCTCTGAGTTCCATCCCCAGCACAGCATAAACTGGATCAGAGTGTTTAAAGTCATCCTCAGCTATATAGTGAGTTTGAGACCAACCTGGGGTACATGAGACCCTTACTCAAAAAGAAGAGGAGGAGGAAGATGAGGAAGAAGAGGAAGAGGAGAAAGAAGAGGAAGAGGAAGGTGATGACAGAGACAAGGAGGAGGGGGAGAGGAGGAGGAAGGAGGAGGGGGAGAGGAGGAGGAGAGGAGGAGGAGGGGGAGAGGAAGAGGAGGAGGAGCAGGAGGAGGAGGAGAAGGAGAGACAAGAGAGAGATAGAGACAGAGACAGAGAGAGAGAGAGAGAATATTTTTTTTTTAAAACGACAAACAAAACAACCGGGCTCGCTGGTCCATTCCCTTAATCCCAGCATGCTGGAAACAGAGGCCAGTGAGGGGAGGAGGGGGAGGGGAGGAGGAGGAGGGGAATGATGACAACAATGTCAAGGACACACAGCCCATGAGCAGAGGGTGGGCATCTGCTTCGGGGTCAAAGGCACAGATAATGGAGACCAGACATTACTGTACTGCATCCCTCTGGCCTGTGTGGGGACTGGTCCAGCAAGAATAGCTGGGCACAGGAGTTGGAGGCACTGAAGGGACAGAGATGTGGCACAACAGGAATGAAAGAAAAACAGGCCTCCTGGGACCTTGAGAGGAATGATCTACCACATTGTGGCCATCCTGCCTGATTCCTGTTATCAGCACTGGCCTTGTGGACTAGGCAAGACCCTGGGGAGGTAAGGAAGTAAAATAATCTAATAGCAGTAGGCCATCCTCCCAGCCTTAGGAAGATCAAGGTCATGAAAGTGAGCACCGTTCAAGAAGGCCCAGGTTCTTACATGCAATTTCGAGCTGCTAAATCCCGATGGAGAAAATTCCTGTTGCTCAGATACTCCATTCCCAGGGCAATGTCCACCATGAACTTCAGCAGGGTCTGCAGGGGAATGTGCTAGGGTGGAGGAAACAGAAGGAAGCTAGTATTTAGAAGGAAACTTGGCAAGTTATTCTCACCTGAGGGGAAAACGGCATTCTCTTCATCGAGTTGTGGTGGTGACATGGAAACGAATGTTTCATTTCTCTATAATATATAAAAAATGGGTATTTTGTTTGTTTATTTTGAGGCAGGGGTCTCTCTGTGTATCCCAGGCTGACCTACAACTCAAGATCCTTTGCCTCAGCTTCCTCAGTGCTGGGATGACAGACATGAGCTACCACACTCGACTCTCAAATGTTTTAAAGAGGAATGAAGAAGGAACCCCTAAAAGTTCTTGGAAAATACCGCATTCTCCCCTCTTCACCTTTTAACGCGTTCACAGTGAAAAGTATCCTGTGTCTGAGGTGTTTCTTCATATCCTGAGGGGTGCTGGGACACAGGCCATACCAGGCAGAGAGGAGTACCTGCTTTTAATGAGGGAGGAATGCTGGAAGATGGTCAAAGTTTTGGAGGCAAAAATCCCACTTAGTAGGAGCTGTTTCCAGTTCTGTCTCCCTATCTGCTATCCTTTTCTATCCTTCCTCCCTCCCTCCTTCCTTTCCTTCCTCCCTTTCCCCTTTCCTTTCTTTCTTCTGTGGTGCTAAGAATCCATCTCTGAACCTCATGCATACCAAGCAAGCTCATTTTACTTTGAGATATTTTGAAAGATACTTTTCTTCCTCTAGACAGCAGCAATTAGGCTAGTCTTCACCCCTTATCTTTGGACCACAATACAAGCATGTACTCAGAGATTCTCATATTCTTCCCCTAGGGCTCTCCTAGAGTTTCAACCATCTAGTGTTTTCCTCTATGTTGTAGAATCAGACTAAACTGCTATGTGAGTAAACCTGCCACTGATGGGTTGGAGATGTAGCTCAAGGGTAGAAGTGCTCATGTAGCATATACAGCACTGGCTCAACCCACTTAACTACTTTTCTCATCACTGTGATCAAATATCTGACAAGCCACTTAAGGGAGGAATGGTTTGCTTTGAGATAGAGACACACAGAGAGAGACACAGAGAGAGACACACAGAGAGAGAGACAGAGAGAGAGAGAGACAGAGAGAGAGAGAGAGACTGACTTAGAATTGGTTATGAGGATGGTGACTAATGAAGACCTCCAAGTAATAATGAAACGTTTTATTGCAGTCATGGCCCTAAAGAAAGGGCTGGCTACAAGTTCCTGACAGTCACGAATAAAGAATGGGTCCATCCACGATTCCCCCTCCCTAACTAAGTCATTGGATTTGTCATAGTTTGTTCTCTAAGGACAGTGAGTTTTCCAAATCATTCTCAGAAGGGCACTGCCTTTTGTTTTTGTTTTTTTTATGCTGCAGTACTGGGCATTGAACCTAGGGCCTCACGCATGTTAAGCAAGCACTCTGTCACTCAGCTACAACCCTGAGCATTGCACTTTTAATGACTTATATTTCCCAAACAAGACATATGCCAATTATATACTGCCTATAAAACTAAAGTGCCTTAATTATCCTTACCCTTAAGTAATGGAGTTATGAAAAAAGGTGAATGAATCATTTTCTGACCCTGCTCTGTGTACTCATCTGTGCTATTTTTTCCTTTAATAATTACATTATTTTCAGAGGCTGTGATTAAAAATCATTTAAAAAATAATTGTGTAGTTCAAGCAATAAAGGAGTTGAGAAACTGTGCAGGTCTCAGTACAGACAACAGTATATACAATAAGCCTTGTATTTTCATGCACTAGTGATAATCTCAAAATGAAACTAAGAAAATAATTCTAGCTACAATAGAACACAAATATTTAGACAGGAATTTAATGAAGTGGTCAACTTATGTCCTGAAAAAAATCACAAAATGTTGGAGAAAATTAAAAATCTAAATATATGGAAAACTCTTCTTTATTCATGAATTACAAGACTTAAAAATATTTTATGTCATTTCTCCTCAAATTATAGATTCAGTACAGGGCATGTTTAATACAGCTGGCTTCTTTGTAGAAATTAAGAAGCTGATTCTAAAAGTCATAAGGAAACTCAAGGAACTCTGAATACCAGCACCCCCCGCCCCCGCCAAAAAAAAAACCAACAACAACAAAAAAAAACACACCAAAAACCAGGCCTGAGGAAGAGCATGGCTGAAAGGCTTCAGACTTACAAAAAAGTAACTCTAATTAAGGCAACGTGCCACGAGGGTAGGTATGGACATTCACATTGAAAAACTAGAATTGACAGTTCAGGGCTGAGGAGATTGATCACTCAGTGGGTAAAGCACTTGCCATACAGGGGTGAAGCCCTGAATTTGGATCCCCAGAACTCAGGTAAGGCTGGACATGGCAGCATGTGTCTGTAACTCTAGCACCGGTAAGGTGAGATGGGAAGTAGAGACAGGAGAAGTCTGGAGAGTCACAGGTCAGCTAACCCACTGTACTCAGTGGAGAACAGTTAGAGACCCTGCCAGGTACACTGTGCAAGGTGAGGACTGTCACAAGATGTGGTCCTGTGACCTCCACCCTTGCCCTGTGACCTTCATCTCTTGAGTGCTGGGGTAACAGGAGTGTGATACCACCACAGCTGGTTTATGTGGTACTGAAGGTGGAGGCCAGGGCTTTGCATACGCTGGATGTGTTTTCTGTTGCTGGGATAAACACTGACCAAAAGTAACTTGGGGAGGAAAGGGTTTATTCCACTTGACAGGTTATAGTCCATCATTGAGGGAGGCTAAAGCATAAACTCCCAGGCTCACGTTGAGTTACTTTCTTATACAGCCCAGACCCATCTGCAGAGGGGTGACATTGCCCACAGAGATCTGGGGCCTCTCATATCAACTAGCAATCAAGAAAATGCCCCACAGACCAATCTGAAGGAGGAAATTCCTTAACTCAGGTTCCCTCTTCCCATGTGACTCCAGGTTGTGCGGTTGACAATAAAAACTTACCAACTCACTAGGCAAGGATTTTAACAGCTGAGCACAGCCCAAGCCCTCAACTGCATTTTAATACAATCCTGAGAAAGTTTGGGGGAGAATACATCATGGATGGACCCATTTGTGATGACCAGGAACTTGTGGTATGCTCTTTTCTTTAGGGCCATGACTATATTAAAACATTTATTATTACTTGGGGGTCTTCCTTAATAATCACCCTCATAACCAATTCTAGCAGTGC